TTAAAAGTAAATAGATATAGGTTCATACTATAGTCAGGAGAAAGACAATTATTTTTTCTATTTAGATCCATATGTGATTCACGCAAATATGTTAACATTTTGATGTAAAACAAGAAACAAAAAGTTTGAAATAAAAAAACTCTAATGACATGAATTATGAATAGTGTTGTATGAACGGGTTAATTCATGTACGTAATTCTGAGAGCGAACTACGTTGTTCGAATGCCCGTCAGAACATGGCATTACGAATATGAAATCAAAACAAAATTCCTATTCCGCATGTCGTCGACATCGTTTCTTTGTCGACATCACTTCGACATTGATTTGGTATTCCGAAACACTCATGCGACGATGTCGACTGTTTATCGATAATATCAAGAAAACAAAAAACACATCTCTAAAATGGTAGTCAGCTGTTTATTTTGTTTGATATTTTGGCTTAAGTTGAGTTTAGGGGCTTATCTTCAATTTTTCTGAAATTACCACAGGTAGATCTCGTCTCCCTGATGACGAAAATATATCGAGATATGGACCTCTGAAGTTGCGGAATTCATATGCTCGCTCATAACAGCTTTATTTATGGACCGATGATGGTAATTTTGACGGCTATTAAGAATTGCATGTTTAAAATGTTCGATCGCGTAGCCGAATTTTCCATTTGTCATAGATAGACATCCAAGAATGGTTATTGAAAAAAATAGTTGAAAAATAATTGATTTCCGCCGGTCCATAAGAAGGCCGGCAATTTTGAATAATTTTTTAATTAAAACTACTTTTTGTGAAAATATGTGTACGCCATACCAATATTACCTTCATCGGCCTTTAAATGACGAACTTATGAACAAAGGAATTTCGGAACATCAAGGGTCTATATTTCGGGAAGTTTGGCTTCTCCCATATAATAACTTTTCCTGATCAGGGAGACGAGGCCTACGTGTGGTAAAAATGTCATCCGAGATGAGCCTCTAAACTCATACTGTTCCCTTTTTAGTATATATGGGAAATTACAAAAATCTTTTAAATTCCTGGAAGCTGAGGTTTGCAAAGTTATAACTCGCGAAATATGAACATATTGCATATAATTTAAATTCATTTCTATAAAATTGAGTGTTCTTGTCAAAATCTTAAAATATTGGTAATAAATAATAAGTTTGGTGGAAGCTGTGATGGTGGTAATGTAAAAAAATGGGTGAAAATGTGTTGAAGCCAACGAGTTTTTTTGTGTTCGTTCCTGATTTGTGGCTAAACCACACAACGCACACACATGTGATCAGTGACTAAGTTGCAGAATACCCCATGGACAATATGATTCTAATGTATGATTTTTCGATATAATCACTGCATCTTTTTTGTCTTTTTTGAATTTTTCTTATAATTAGGATGCGCATCCAGATAATAGACTAAACTGATTATAATATTGTAGAACTCGTGATTTTGCGTCGTTTGGTGTCTATCTCATGAATGTGCTCACCGTAGCTTCTTTGCAATTGGATACAAAAGACGAAAATTTTGTGCGTAAATTTTTATAAAACTTTTTTTTTGAGTCTTAATTTAAGATGGTCCATTCAAATTCCGTGGAACCCCGCGTGATTTTAGTTTTTTTACGTGCCATGTTCAATTCCGCCCAATAAAACGGCGGATAAAGGTACCTTGAATGTGTAAAAAACTGCAAAAACTTATTTTGACAAATTCGCGTATATAATAGCGGATTCCTTCGAATTGATTTCACATACATTCATTCTTGTGTTATCATATTCGCGAATCTGTGTGAAAATAGGTCAGAAATATATCGATACGCGAATAATATGCGTATTTTATCAAAAATCGATTGTGGAGGCACACCCGCGGTTCTTAACCGATCCTTTTAAAATAGGTGTCCTTTTGTGTATTTTCATAGGAGATTACTGAAATCGGTTGCGCATAAAAATCGTATGCACGTTGCGCCATTTTTAGTAATTTTTAGGGTTTTTGCATAGTAAAGTGCATCGAGCACACTTTGGCCGCTTAATGAAACCTCGAAAAATGCATAATTATTGGAAGAGATTGATTCGGTTTATACGAAAACCGCATGCACATCAACTGATTTCAACAAAAACGCGAATTGTATGCTTTTCAATATTGATCTTTTTTATGAACTGTAAGTGCAATATATTTAGTCACTTTTAACGACGAAACTCTTATTAGATGAATTTACCGATATTTAACAATCATCTAAAAGGAATTTGCAGTAGAAAGCGTCGTATATTTTAGAAGATTAAGGCAAAACCGTATCCTCTTAACCATACTAAAAATCGAAAATTCAAAAAAAAATTTTGTTTTAATTCAAAAATTAATTTATTTTATTTTCCGATATCTTCATGCTTCTATTTGCTTTTCGCGACTATTATACCGTATTTCAATGTGATTTGACTAGTATGCAAAGAAAACAATGGTGTTTAAACATTTGTGAAGAAATTCGCGAATTACAACAAATAGGAATTCATTTAATTTATATTTGAAATACAAGATTTAAAACCGCTATAACTTGTGTGCGCAGCATCCGAATTTGTGAACGCGAACATATTTCGAATCAGCATATTTTTCTTAACCTATGTACCAAAAATCATAAATGTGCTCGCAAAAAAAATTTTCAAATTTTTTTTAATGGAATTTTAAAAGAATTTTGTAATTTCCCATATGTACATAGAATTACTTTTTGAGTCGATTTATACACTCTGCCCTGTTCATGTATTATTTTAAACAAGTTACAGGTCACCTTTATGATCCGATCCGAGCTCAATTGATATTGGTCAAATTAGGTTCAGATGTTTATATAGATCCCATATATTTTTCTTTTTTTATTTACACCTAATTTTGAATTACGTTCTTGTTCGGTCATCCTGTTCTTGTTCGGTCATAGTTTGATTTTTAAATTCTTAAAAAATATTGTTCCAACACTTCAGTCGTAAACTAAAACAATGACGAATAAATCTTCGACATCGTCGTCACACTTTGTTATGCCATGTACAGACGGCCATCGTTCGCTCTCTCATTCGTTGTTCGACCCTTAATTATGAAGTAATTACTTAGTTCCCCATACTGAGCGAACACCTACCTTTATACGTTGTTCAATTCGAATCACTCTCTGAATAACTAAGAAATTTGTCCCATCCCTAACAATTGAGAGTGTTTATCGAAAATAAATTAATTCTGACAGCTTGAAAATATTTATCAAATTTTCAAACTTTTTCAGTCAAATTGAAAATGATGAATGAAAAGTAAAAAATTGCCTGTGCAAATTGTATGCAGAAGGATCTAAATTTAGTTGTCTACATAATGCATATGCATTTCTTTCCCTTTTGTTCTAATTAGCGTACAAAACTAGAAACAAATGTGGGGCCACCCAAAAAAAATTCTCCAATTTTTTATATTGACATTTAAATTAAGAAAATATAAAAAAATTGAGAAATGAATTAAAAGTTAATAGATATGGGTTCATACTATAGTCAGGAGAAAGAGAATTATTTTTTCTATTTAAATCAATATGTGATTCATGCAAATATGTTACAATTTTGGTGTAAAACAAGAAACAAAAAGTTTGAAAAAATAAACTCTGACGACATGAATTAAGAATAATCTTATATGAACGGGTTAATTTATGTACGTAATTCTGAGAGCGAACTACGTTTTTCGAATGCCCGTCAGAACATGGCATTAGGGAATACCAAAAATACCAAATGTCGACAACGATATAGGGACTATCCGCTTTATTAGTTGATGAATATGTTTGGTTTAAATCGAAGCACATTACTCCAAATTTGTCTACTAATTAAGAAAAAATATACTTATAAAAATCAGCAGCTACGTCATTTATGAATAACATTATAGACACAAGCTAAATTATTAAAATAACATAGAATACCAACATTAACATGTAGAGATCAAAGTATTGTGTTTGTATGACAAAATAAGTAAAAAAAATCAAATACAGTCATTCACAGTTATAGCGAACTAATAAGGACCAAGCAAATTCGACTATAGTATGTTTATACATATTTAATTCTAAAATAACATTCCCATATTTTTCCCACAACGTTTTAATTTGTATGATAAAACAAAATGTACATTAGAACTTTTTACCGGGATAACCTACTTTATGAGGATTTATTTGACATATATGCAAAGGAATTGACAATTGAAACCCACTGGGTTAACGATGTAAACGCACTATAAGTAATATATATAAATAATAACAATGGGAGAAAATATTTTACTGTATGATAACAAATATAAATTAAACCAGATATACTAAAATTTAATATCTAGAAACTTTCGGTAAAGGCTAAAGTCTATATATCGGGAAGTAATCTACCAGCCTTTGGCAGTGAGGTCTTTTCAATATTAGCGATAATTCATTTTCCGTAAGAAAAAATTAGTGGGCGTGTCGATTTTAAGACTTGTAACTATATTTACATTATAATAGGCACTTTTTCGATCATTTTGGATCAAAATTGGAAAAAATTATAAACAACGAATAGTTTATAAAAAATCATTTTGGAGAGGTTTTACATAATAGTAGACATTGTTTGTATCTTAAATTCCTTTAAACTTTGAAATGCGTAATTTAGCCATAATGGATAACCGGTTCCCAAAGTCGACACCAAGTTTTACAATTGTAATATTTTAATAAATATAACTGACATGTCCACAATTGGAAAATAGTTTACAAAAATTAATTCAACAAATTTTTACTGCATCGGGTAGTAAACAAAATTTCGACAGATGTACCTCAATACCCTCAATACAATATAGTAAAAACAATGCACTCGGGAACGTTGAAACGTTTAAAATCCTTAAAGTGCCGACTAATGGTGCACTTACCCTATTTAGGCTATAGTATAAGATTTTTAAAAATTATGTTAATGGACTATGTGATGTGTATGTGATATTCTGAAATAAATTGCAGTTATATTTCGCGTTTATTTAATATGTCGAATTGTCATCCTATTCACACTACTCACCTTTTTGTCATTGATTACAATGTCGTCACGTTTGTTTATCTCTGCCTTTATGGCCCATTCACGGAAAAGGGCACGAGTCAAAATATTCAAATTGTATTTTCGGTTGTAACGTTCGCGTGGAGTGAAGAAGGTACAATTCAAGTTGCCCCTATCATGGTATACGGCACCACCTCCACTATTACGTCTAGCCAATGTAATTCCCTTGTCCACAAGTTTGGAGACATTGGCTTCGGTGAATGGGTTTTGGTGACGTCCGATAACAACACATGGATCATTTGCCCACAACAACAGGACATGATGGCGACTAAAGTCAAAGTGACGGTAGAGCCAATCTTCTAATGCAAGATTGGTGAAAATGTCATACGATTGTGAAATGAAAACAGATTTCTTTATGTCCGCAGAACTAATAGTATCGCTGTTTCCAATCGACTTCCGTGTTGTTTCATTGTCAATGCTGTGATTACCATTGTCGTCATTCGAAGTCGTGGATGAGAGGGAAACAGAGGAGGAAGAGAACTGATGTCGTTGTGGCATCGCTGTAACCATACGTAACATTGCACGCAATTGGCAACCAGAGACTCCGCCTCCCATTAATTTAACTCCCATTAGAGCATTCATGATTGTGCTTGAATA